TGAGCGGGTTGACCACTATGAAGGAGTAACCAGAGCGACCGATGAAAAGGAGCGGTTTGATGTACTCGATGCCGGCAGTGAAGTGGCGGTCGGCGAGTTCCTTACGGATCCGGCGGTTTAAGTTCACGCAAACTTTGCTCTCGGCACCATTCACTGCAACCAGATTGTGCACGAGAGTGTGCAGCATGTCAAGGCAGGTGAAAAAGAGGGTCTGGTTTGAGTGCGGCTCCGTTACACCAAAACCAATAAGCTGAGCCAAAAGGACGGCCCAACGGGAAATGCGCTCAGCATCCATCTCGGTACACAGTCTTCTCCCCACTAGAGCCAAACGCAAACTGAGACATTCCTGCAGGACGTGACGAGTGCGTAGGTTTTCCGGCATCCGATTGCGTGTCTCCTTAGCGTTTGCCAGGAAGAAATCTACCTGCTCGTAGAGGTAGTCAATCGAGTCAGTTTCCTGCATGCAGACCTGTAGCAAGGCTGAGAATGCCGGATGGGCCAGTATGACCGAGTGCTTGAGCACAACCCTTTCCTTGTCTTCATCGTTCTTGTGCCGCAAGAATTGTTTAATGCTCCGAAGAATCTAAAATAGGAGAGAAATCAGTTAAGGGTGTTTAGAAGAACTAAAATAAACAGGCAGTCCAGCAAGGCGTCTTAATTAAGTAGTATTAACAGTGACTTATCTCACGAAATATTAGCATCAATTCTGAAATGCCTTGATTAGGGAGGGTTACTTCAAGAGCGTTGTGATAATAATTATCGTACTGGAAGATCCTATAATATTTTAGTCACACCAGGATGCCGGCCTTTGAGTGCGCTTTTTTCGGCCACCTGCAAAAATATCCCGCGCAAAAATGACTACTCAAGCAATTTAAATTTCCCTTTCCTGGTTTCCCGTCCCCTTCAAAATTCGAATATACTTTATAGAAAACGTGGTCAAAATATCCATTTTTGCACTTATTTGGAAGAAAATCAGCTCTTTTAAAATGTAATACTCCACGGAATGGAATATATAGGTTTTGAAAAAGCTTTTCAATCCCGAACGTTTTTGAACTCCACCTGTATTTGCATCCATTTTTACAAGGTGTATACTTTTCTTGTAAGGAAAATCGGACATTCCTCGGTACTATTAAGATAAGAAAATATTTGCAAAAGATATGGCCTGTTTTATAAAATTGAAAAGAATCATAAATGAAGGAACATATGACACTTCATCGTATAAACATAGTCACTATGTGACGGTC